TTCTGGTTCCTCCTTCAAGGCCCGTCGTCCTCCCTGTTCTTCAGTCACCCCCCAACCCCCGCCCACAAGGTTCTCTGTTCTCTGCCCTCCAGGGAGCTCTGCCCATCTGGTTGGGGTGTTCTGGCTTCTGGGTCTTGTCCATTGACTGCAGGTGCCCAAGTTTGAAGTCCCAGGGCTGGCTGAGGTGGTTCCAAGGAGGAGGGTGGGAACCTGCCCCCAGGTGGTGAGTGGGGCAGGCCCGGGAGGCCGAGAGAGGACCAGAACTGGCCCAGGGTCACGTGGCAAGGCCCCAAACAGACCATCTGGACACCGCTGGAGTGAGGGCCTGGGACTCCAGCCACACAGGCCAGGCTCGGCCCGGGATGGCTGGTCTGGCTCTTTGGGAAGTGATGGGGCCACCACTCTGGAAGGCGTGGGGCCTGAGCCCAGGAAGAGGGGCTGCGAGCCCAAGGGTGCCAGGCCTGGCCGGCAAAGGGGTCTCGTCTCTGCAAGAGAGCACCCTCCATGGCATGGGACCTCATGGATGGGTGAGGGTATCCTCTGTCACACCCAGCAGGACTTGGACCCGCAGGGTTGCAGGCGTGTGGGAGACAGAAGGGCACAGCAGGTGAGGGGACATCCGGCAAAGGCCCGGATGGGTCGGCTCATTTGCATGCAGGGGCCACCGAGGCCACAGCAGCCGCCGCCACCGCCGCTGCCGCCGCCGCCGCCGCCGCCGCCGCCGAGCGGATTTGAGCAGAAGCTCCGTTTTCCTTCTGTTCTTGTCTCTCTCTCAAGGTCAGAGCCCGAGCAGGGACAGGAACAAAGGCGCACGTCCCCCATTCAACCTCCCTGCGCCCGCCGTGCTCCCGGAGGAGGGGCCCCCGGGGAGGGGAGGGGAGGGCAGAGCTGCTCCACGGTCCGGCCCCGGGCAAGGCGGGGACGGGGGCGCGGGAACAGCTGCCCAGCTGCCCTCACGGACCCCTGCCCGATGGGTCCCGCTGTGGGCCCCCAAGAGGCTCTGTCGCCTCCCAGAGTGGGTGGCCATCCCAGCCTCCAGGCTCTGCCGGCAGGGGGTGGTCAGCTAAGGTCAGGGGTCGTTCTGGAGTAAGCTTCTGCTGGAATCAATGGTCAGTGGTCAGGCTCACTTTGGGGACCGGGGTCAGTCTTAGGTTCAAGGCTCAATCAGGGTCAGTGGTCACTCAGAGTCGACTGTCAGCCCCAGGCCCAGACCCAGGGCAGGGTTTTTGATGGGGTGTGTCCCCGTCCACTGCAGTCTGCACTCCTGGGCTCAAAGGTCCACCTCAGACTCAGGGAGGGTCTTGTCCGAGCCAGGCCCAGACCTGCCCCTAGTCTGTGCCCAGCACCCCTGCTCCAGCACCCACTGCCCACCGCCCACCAACCCTGACCGATCACCCCTACCCACTGTCCCCTGTCCACCCCCACTGGCTCCTGACCCACCACTGGTCACCCACCGCCCACGAGCTCCAACACATCACACAATACCCATCACCCTCTGCCCACTGACCCCCGGCCCAGTGCCCACCACCCATTATCTGTCGTCCCAGCCCACAGGGTGAATTCCCAGGGCTTGGCATCAGCGACCAGAGCCCCCTCAACCTTCAAAGGCCACAGCGCTTTGGAGAAAGCTAAAAATATGCGGGCAAAAATTTCTCATTACAGAAAATATTGGACCCAGTCCGCCACCCACTCTGGCTCGAGCGCTTTTCAAGAGGCGGGAAGGGGTCGCCGGGGAGGGCGGGGGGCCTTGGCGGGTCTGGGGCTTCACTGAACCAGTTCAGAGCGGGTCTCAAGGACAGTTCTCCAGGCTGTGACTGAGCATAAACAAACTAACCTGTCCCTTTCTCTTGCTGGTAAATTAAAATTCCCACCCTCGTGTCCAGTGTCCAGTCAGGCCCTTGAAACCTCAGCCTGGACCTCAGATTCCTGCAAGCTCCGCAGCCAGGCCAGCGCCGGACCAAGCAGGCGTCATCCCAGCTATTCCCCCCCTCCCCCCCCTCCTCTCC